ATGTCAACAAATGAGCAGTGGCAACCTCACATTTCTCTGCACGGCACTACCAACCGAATCGAGACGGGGAAATTTAAACTTCAAGTAGAAATGTCACATTGAATGTAGTCAACTGTTGGTAACCATGATTTTTATGAATGACATCACCTATGACGTGCATCGGATTTTATTTGGTATCCACTATACAGGCATTCATTCCCCTGATACGGAGCGTTTGAACTTGTTCGTTTTTATGCTTAATGAAAAACTGTATGCCACTGGTGCTTGCTTTCTGAAAGCCATATTGATTCTCTTGTAAAGTGTCTCTTGAAGTTTTTTGTTCGTTAGAAAAACCCATTGCTTGATAACTATTTTTAATAATGACATCTTTTGTTTCGAAAACGAAAAACTCCAAGAGAAAGTTTATAGTGAAATTAATCTGGCTTACACGTGACGTAATGCCTTTTCGCTGAATTTAGAGACTTGCTGGCACAAACCCCACTAATGAGGCTACCTTAGAGGAAACGTGTGACATGATAATGTGATCTTTGACATTACAGTCATTGAATAACCAAATCTTATCTAAACATTTTTATGTGGTTTCTAATGAGTGATTTTTTTGCTAGTATCTTTTTGGCAACACTGTTTTTGGCAGATGACGCGTGAATCTTGACTTGTGTCATTGCCAAACTTATTCAGTTTGGTCTATAATTTAACCATGACGACTTACGAACGAGCAACGCTTGCAAATTATTGAATTTTACTATCAAAATTCATGCTCGGTTAAGAGAGTGCATCGAGAACTGCTTCCAATTTATGGGCAATTTGGTCGGCCTACTGAGGGAGCTATTCTGAAGCTTGTGACTAAATTTCGAACCCAGTTTACATTATTGGACATTAAACCACCAACACGCAGACGTAGAGTGAGGACTGAAGAAAATATTGCGGCTGTATCCGCCAGTGTTAGTTATGACCGTGAAATGTCGATTCGCCGCCGTTCGCAGCAATTGAGCCTCTGTTACTCCACTACGTGGAAAATTTTGCGACAGGATTTGGGTGCAAAACCTTATAAGATACAGCTGGTGCAAGAATTGAAGCCACACGACCTCCCATAACGTTTCCAATTTGGTGAATGGGCGCTGGCAAGGTTGGAGGAAGATCCACATTTTTATCGAAAAATTATGTTCAGCGACGAAGCTCATTTCTGGCTGAATGGGTACGCTAACAAGCTACATTGCCGCATCTGGAGTGAAGACCAGCCAGAAGCATTGCAAGAGCTACCAATGCATCCCGAAAAAATCACTGTTTGGTGTGGATTATGGGCCGGTGGCATCATCGGGCCGTACTTCTTCAAAGACGACAATGGCCGGAACGTAACTGTGAATGGCGAGCGCTATCGTGCGATGATAACAAACTTTTTTTTGCCCAAAATGGAAGAGCTGGACTTGGCTGACATGTGGTTTCAACATGACGGTGCCACATGCCACACCGCACACGAAACAATGGCCCTATTGAGAGGCGAGTTCGGTGAACAGTTTATCTCACGTTTGGGGCCCGTCAATTGGCCGCCTAGATCGTGTGATTTAACGCCGTTGAACTATTTGTCGTGGGGCCATGTTAAGGCCAATGTCTACAGGGATAAACCAGCAACGATGGACGCACTGGAAGCCAATATTGAAGCATTTATTCGTGAGATACCGGCCGATATGTTGGAGAGAGTGTGCCAAAATTGGACCTTGCGCATGGGCCACCTAAAGCGGAGCCGCGGCCAACATTTACATGAAATAATCTTTAAACATTAAATTATAGCGACCGTTCTATCGACTCAAATAAAGATTTACTCATTTGTCGAAAATCAAATCCTATATCTCTTAAAAAATCACCCGTTAGAAATCGAAAGTAAAAAAATGGCAAGTCTAAATACCCCTTCCACATCATACTGTGGAAACGAATTGTTTGTATGTTTGCGTGGACCTTTTACTTATTTTAAACGTGCCGGATTTTTCTAAGGGCCGTATCATCGGTCGCTCCTACAATTGTAGGACGCCTTTACGGCCACCTTGAATTTCATAGTTCTCTCCTGTTACGCGTCAGCGTTCTATTTTGAGGTTTGTCACAGATATATATTTGCATCAAATTGATCACGCTTTTGATTTTTATCAAACTGAAATTTGCTATACTTCAAAAAAAAAACATATCTCACAATAGGAAAGCTCCGACTCTGACACGGAATACTAGGAATAGCCCAGCCTTTTTGAAGGAGAGAAAATACTATGAAAATCAGTCCATAAAGGTGACCCACAATTATCGTAGGAACGACTGACAATAAGTGACTGGAATTTTTTTTTTGATTGGATGCGAGTAGGGTAAGTCGAGGAAAGATGGTCATACTTTTTATTATTGGTTATATTGTTTGATAGATGAAAAGTACAAACTTGAAATTTGGCATAGAGTAACTACTTCATATGTGGGTTGATTACCTTTAAAATTCAATGCGAGCAGCAAAACAGTTTTTTCAATAATTCTCATGTCATAAAAAGTGGCATTTGGCCATCTCTCCTACAGTCTATTTTTTTTTCCTTGGTTTCTTTTTGTTCCACGCATCTGGACCGTCTTTTTGCAGCTTCAACCCTTAATCTAGGCACGGGCGATATATCTGCCAGCATTTTACTGATAGGGGTTACTTCTGTTTCCATATTTTGACAAGTGCCTTCTGGTTGAATGTTATTCTCGGCAAGGTTTTTAATAGCGGTTGAACAATTATCGTTGTCTTCATTTATTAAAGCTGGCTCATCAACTTGGTCATCACCAATATCTTCTAAAGTTCTATCTTGAGCATCGGATAAGTTTTGAGTCCCAATTTGAACTGCCACGCTGGTGTTTCAATTTGAACATCTGCTACAGCAAAAGCGTAGTCCGGTATGGCATCTGGATTATATGTGAAGATACCGGTACTTCTGAAACCACTGACACCATTATTAATAGTTGCAGATTTTCCCCAGGTGTCAGATAATAATTCTCCAAACTGGTATCGTGTTATACGCCTGCCAGGATGACGCTTCAACCAAAGTCTGCAGTTTGAATAAAATGCATTTTTAACAGACTTGAAAACAGCCCTATCTAATGGCTGTAAGAAATGGGTGCAATGACTAGGAAAAAATGGCAAAATTATGTCATTTTCTTTCGCATGCTCCAGCATTTCAACAGAGACGTTTGTCCATCTAGTAATAGAAGTTCTGGTTTTCTGGGAGTGAAGTGTTCCTTCAACCAAGACAAAAAAAATTGTGAATTCATGTATGCTGACATTGGTGACATAAAAAACTGACTCCCAGGGGGTGGGTTATCTTTAAATTCTTTTTTGATATTCTTACCCTTCATGACTGCTGGGGGCAAGAATGTGCCTTTCGCATTGCAGCAGGCTACTAAGGTAATGGTTTCTCCCTCCCCAGAAAAGGTGATGGCGGAAACACTTTTTGAACCTTTTTCAGCTAAAACTTTATCGGTGCGATTGTTCAGCTGGAGACCTGATTCATCCATATTAAATATATTCATCGGTTTGTCAAATAACTGATTTTCCTCCAAGACCTTTTGCAACAAATCAAAATATTTTTTTACTACCTTATGGTTCATAGGTTGACCTCTTGGAGGAGAAAAACCTTCGGATTTCCTAATAGTAATTGTGGGGTTTCGCCTCAGAAATTATTGCAGCCAGACCGGTCCAGCCACTTCGGTGTTAGGGTTAAATTTGTGCCTAAATCCCAATTGATTTGTGAATTCGTAAGCAAGCCTGCGCACATCTTGTCTGGTTAAGGCAAATCCGCTTTTCTGCATATGTTTGATATGTCTAACCTACCTCATCTCATTGGAAGTACCCAACGAAGAATCAGGGCCCAGGTTCCCTTTTTTATCGTTATTATGTTTAACCCTTCTTTCCAAAGTCTTGCGAGGAATTTGAAATGATAAAGAAGCTCTTCTAACAGACATTAAACCATTTTTAACTGCTGCCATAGCATTTTAAAGGTTGTCCTCTGTCCAACTTCCTCGATTATTTAAATTTTTTCGCACGTACACGTTTTGCATCTAACAAACATATATCAAAAGTGGGTAACTCCGAATATATTCCCAACAAAACGAAAACAATTGATGGGTTTAAAAGAAAGAAAAAATAAGCAAAACGTAGTAGAGATGGCCATATGGCTATCTTTCCTTTAAAAAGATAGGGCCATCTCTCCTTATTGTATAGGATAGATGGCCACCGTGTTTACTAAAATCCACGCGACCCACAGTGTGGCGCCCAATGGACAAAATTACTCAAAAACATAAGCATAGTACTTTAATCAAGTTGGCTGCGAGTTACCTATTTTAGCAACTTTAAAGTTAGACATGTCGAGACCTGTCAAGAAGGCGAAAAATCTCTGTTTTGTTGCTCGGGAAAGATATAAATTTTGTGTCGAAATATTTAAACATTTTAACTTTTCCAATATGGCTGGTAATTAGGCTGGTAAGTACATTATATTGATGTATAGATTTATTTAAAATATAATTATAATTAGATAATTTTTTAAGTTAAAGTGACTATGACCGATTTTTTTAATTTTTTTTAAACTTTTGACTTTGTTTAGAGTTTTACAAAAATCACCTCCCATCACCCTAAAAAATTTTTTATTTATTGTTTATCTGTCCATAGTAAGTTTTGATAAAAAGTTTAAATCACGTCATGCCACGTCTAAGGGAGATATAATTTTTTTTAGGGCATGGTGCTATTGTCAGAAATAGAGATTTGATTGATGTGTGGATAGAAGCACCGAGAGGAAATAGAAAACAGGTGGTTTATGAAAAGATATGATCTCTTATTGATATAACAGATGAACCTTCCAAACATCTTAAAAGTAATATTATGAAATGCAGCCAGTTGTTTGGGTTGAAAATGGCGAATAAATGGCAGAAAGTAGGACAATCTCGGAATCGACTTTTACAAAATCAGGTATATCGGTTAGACAAGATTATATATAGAATAAATAATGACTCTAAAGAAAACACATCTTCGGATGAGGAACAAGAACCTCCTTGTCGCTCAGTTGGACGGCCACGGGTGACATTTGAAGAGGCATCGAAGAAAACAAAACGAAGACGTGTAGCCGAACTAACCACAGACAGATCTGCAAATGAACTTCAATTTGCTGTAAACGTCGTTTCTGGAAGCAATCACAGTGAGGTCTCGCCACAAATTTTTAGTTTTAGTACAGCTCAAGCTTTAGCCCTTATGGTAGATTTGGATATATCCGTAAGAAAGTATTTGCTACTTAGGTCTATTATTAATGGTAAGGCCCAGAACTGCCTTCCTAGTTATAAAGAATTACAGAAAACAAAAAATGCTATCCTCCCTTCACAATTTATTATTACTGAAATTTCTGCAGAAGTTGATTTGCAAGAACTTCTACAGAAAACAGCTGAAAGTATCCTTGAAATAATAAATTTTGAAGAGAGAGATTACCGGATTAAAGTGTTGATTTGATGGCAGTTCTGGGCATAGCCAATATAAGCAGAAATTTTCTGATTTAGAAAACACCGATGAATTTCTGTTTCTTGTAGCAATGACGCCACTCAGATTGATAGATATGGAAACGAATAAGGTATTGTGGAAAAATGAGAGCCCTTCATTTACTTTATATTGTAGGCCGATCAAGTTTTTATTTAAAAAGGAAAATGCTGATTTAGTCCGGAATACGGAAAAGGAAATAATAACAAACATTGAAAATTTGATTCCTATTGAGATTAAAACAAAAGAAGGGCACTCTTATATAATTGAAGTTGATATGATGTTAACAATGTTGGACGGCAGTATTGGAAACGTTCTATCAGAGACAAATTCAACTATGAAGTGCATCATTTGCGGAGCCACACCCAAGGACATGGACACGTTAGCAGGGATTGACCGTCCTCCTAACGTAGACAATTACTGGTTTGGTTTGTCAACTTTACACTGCTGGATTCGTTTTTTTGAATGCTTACTCCATATTGGATACCGCCTGCCAATTAAATCTTGGCAGGTTCGTGGGCCTGAAAACAAAGCTATAGTCAAAGCAAACAAAAAACGAATCCAAGCAGAGTTCAGAGCCAAGCTGTCTCTAATAGTTGACAAACCAAAACCCGGGTATGGTTCCTCAAATGATGGCAATACGGCCAGAATTTTTTTCTACAATCCACAAATAAGTTCAGATATCACAGGGGTTAACAGGAAATTAATCGAGAAATTTACGATCATCAGGAGTGTTAGCTAGTGGTTGCGCTATTGATATGGAAAAGTTTGCGTCATTGCTGGAAGAAGCAAGACATTTGTATATCCACTTTTATAAGTGGTACAACATGCCAAACACGGTACATAAGGTCCTTGTTCATGGGTGTGAAATAATTGATGCATTTTGTTTGCCCATTGGAGAACTGTCGGAGGATGCGCTTGAGGCTTGCCATAAAGAGGTTAGGAAACATCGATTATCTCACACCAGAAAATGTTCAAGAACAGATACGAATAAGGTTCTCATGCGTGTTCTTTTACTTACTTCTGATCCTTTTATATCCTCAAAAAGAAAGGTGAGCTCAAAAAAATATAAGAAATTCAACGAGGCAGTTCAGAACTATTTAAAAAAGCAAGAAAATGATGATTTAGGTATTGACTTAGGTACAATAACCAATGACACAGCACCGAGCAAGAAATCCTATTCCGATTAGAATGGGTATATTTGGTGTTATTTTTTTAATATAGTTTATATTATTATTTCATACATTACCTACTAAGTAATTGTTATTTTGTTAAATATATTTTTTTAAATAAAAACCTAAATATCAATTTCAAATTATACAGATTTATTTTTTATTTGAATTATTCTTATTATTTTTTCAAATAGATAGACAAATTTAATAAATCATATTGCGCCCGCCACAAGTTGGCTACATTATTTTTTAAATCATTCGGTAAAGATCTTGAAAAATAAAAGCGTGACTTTTTTGTCTCTCTTAAGAATGCTATAATAATATCCTACCTTATCCCAATTTATTCGAGATCATCAACTTAATATTTTGACTTTTACAAAAAAAAAAGATTTATGCCTGCTCCCCCACCCCTTCTTATTATATTAAATAATTTTTGTCGTACTTTAGAAAGCTACTTAAATAAGTAATCGCCCTGCGTTTACAGAATTCAAATAGGACCACTAGTTTTTAAGATATCGAATTTTGTCCCTGATCCCTATAAAGGAACACACTGTGCGACCGATGGATAAAAATGTGAGGTTAGGTTACATTCAGAATGTCTAGCGAGAACGTTTATGCAAGAAAAAAATGCGATATACACGGTATTTCCGTCAGAATTACAGTTTAATTAACATAACACAAAGTTTTGCATAATGCTTATTTTATCTTGTATTTGCCCACAATCTCACCACAACCGACCCATACGATGCAGCTGACTACAGTAATGTACAATGTGCGCCACCTATCAGAAAGCCAGCGAAATAAAGAGACATCTTTCCTCGACTCACCCTAGAAGATAAATTAAGTACGAATTTTTGGACTGCAGAGAAAAAGCTTATCGTGATATGAATTATAATGTAACAATTTTTTCAATCTTTTGGATCCACACTTTTATATTTCTGCGTGCAAATTAATTACAGTCAAATCTCGTTACAACAAATACTGAAAGCTACAATCATTGTCACTGTGCGCTGCCTCAAAACTTATTTCCAATAGCCGTTCCATCTAAACGCATTTAAGCAGCTTTACCGTAAGGTTCGTTTTTGATTGCAACGCTAAAACGAAAATTCGCTTGGTATTTGAACTAGTGGATGGTAAACATTAACTTTTTTGCATACACAATTTGAGATGCTTTCTGATTGGAAAAGTTGGTTTGGAACTATAATTCAGATGATAAAGAAATTTGTCGAGCTTGTTATATAATAGTAAAGAGCAGAGGTGTTAATTTTGAACAGACTAATGAATCACCTCGCCAAATATTGTGTAATGTTTTATGGTTGATTACAATATGGTCACCTAAAATGGTGATTTAAGCGTAGTATCCTTACACAAGACGGTTGCGGCGCTAGGCCATATATGGACGTCGGCGACATCAGCTTTGTGATGGCCCTTCCATATATACTAAGTGACATATAAATCCGTACACCCAGTTTAAATGGTTTTATTTTAAAAAAATTTTGTATAAGTACTTAATGAAGCATAATAAGTAAATGATAAAAATTTCAAAATGATTGCACTGCTTTAAAGCCCTTTGACCTTTAATAATGTGTGGATGCACCCTGATGTGCTACGCATTCTCCAACGCGCCTAGGCATGCTTCTGATCAGGTGGTCAATGTCCTCCTGTGGTATCTCATACCAGGCAACCACCAACTCCTCTCGAAGTGCTTCTAGAGTCTGAGGAGGACGTTGCAAATTGAGCAATCTCCTACCCATCATATCCCACACGTGCTCAATTGGGGATAAGTCGGGAGATCTTGGTGGCCATGGAAAGAAGTCTATTGTGACTCTTGCAACATGTGGTCGGGCATTATCTTGTTGGAAAGTTGGATCTGCCAGGGTGTCAAGATAGGGTAAAAGATGGGGTTCTAGAACTTCGTGGATATAACGCTGCGCGTTCATGTTACCTCTGATGAAGATTAAAGGTGACCTGGAACCATAAGCTATAGCACCCCAAACCATAACTCCAACAGTGTGATGAACATGTCTTTCAACAAAAAACTGTGGATTCCTCCTTTCACCACGTCGTCTTCTAACCCTGGCACGACCATCGTGCATGCCTAAACAAAATCGAGACTCGTCACTAAAGACAATACTGTTCCATTCCTGATCCCAGAGTGACCGTTGTCTGCACCACTCAAGGCGATTACGTCGGTGTTCTTGAGTTAAAGGGAGGACCCAGTGTGGCCGGTATGAAAACAAGCCAAAACTTCTCATTCGTCGGTAAACACTTCGCACGCCAATAGGTCTTCCGTGTTCTGCAAACCATTCATTTGCAATGGACCTGGTAGTGGAGAAACGGTCCCTTAAGGCCAATAATCTTAGGCGGCGATCTTCACGGTCTGTTGTTCTACGGCGGCGTCCAGTGCCCCTTGCTCTTTGCGTACGGCCTTCTCGAAGCCATGCCTGACAACACCTAACCACAGTGTCTACACTTCTTTGCACTCTAACTGCAATTGCCCGAAAAGAAAGTCCAGCTTCCCGAAGTCCCACTATACGGCCCCTTCAAACTCACTAAGTTGACGAAATCGTACAGGTCTCCGTACTCTAGGCATCGTAACCGATCGTAAAGATGTCAAGAACCAAAATCCGCCAACGTTGATTCTTTACTGCGGCTGAAATATACATTTTTAGAGCGTTAGTGAATTAAAAAAAAGCAGTATAAAAACCGGAATGTCCAACTGATAAGGCTGAAAATTTTTTCACTTGTTGTTTACAGTAAGATAAATACGTTCACCAACTTTTATTAAAATAAAATCATTTAAACTGGGTGTTCGGATTTATATGTCACTTAGTATATCAATCGATAAAACGTGCTGTCTGCGAAACGTTGGAAAATCTCGTAACTGGAGATACTACAGACCAAAATATGTTAATTGGCCTAAAGTTACCTGAATCCAAAAGTTGATAGTTTGCGAGATACAGGGTGTCAAAGTTACAATTTTATTTTCTATTTTTCCTTATTGCTTGAAAAGTATTTCAGATTTTGGCATACAACTCGGGATAGGGAGGTTTTCTAGTATGGCAAACAAGAATCCGTTATGTTTTATGGAAAAGCTTCTAGCGGGCGCGACTTACAGCACTATTTCGGTAAATAACTTATCATAACTTTTTGGTGCTACCCTATATACAACAACTGACCAAAAATCCTATTTTCTCGTATTTCCACAACAAAAAAGGCCTAAAAGTTTTCGAGATATTTGTTTTTAAAGGTTCCAATGCATTATTTGTACCATGATGATAAAGCATTTTCATGACATAATAATCAAGTTGCTTAGTTCTAATGTTTGTGATGATATTGTTTTATACTTCATAAATAATAATAATAATAATTTATTGGTACTATTACACAAAAATGTGTTTACGCAGGTCAGTTAGAGTAGAACATAAAAGAGTTAGCAAAAACAACCAACAATACGAAAATAAGACAAACGTAAAACACAAAGTGGCAATAAAAGGTAAAAAAAAAACTTGATAAAAGCTAGTTTAAAATTTAGATAAACAATAAAATAAGATGGTTAAAGAATTATGAAATACAGCAGACGCTCGATAACGTAAACACGGGATAATGAAAACTTGCGCTAATGTAAACAACTTCGTTATATAGGATCAAACGGAACCCGCGATAACGTAAACAATGTGTACGCTCGATAACGTAAACAACTCTCGGCGGACGGAAACAGCGCGACGGTAAAATGCTGAAGCCTCGATGATTTATGTCGGGCATCGGGGAGTCCCCGATTTATGATGTAGAGTGTAGGGGATTCACCTCTGTGATAAAATACGACAAACTCGGTCAGTCGTACGATCGTTTAGGATACGTTTATACGTACGTATGTATTTCATTTTTGAACTTAAGTGAATACATTGCACGAGTTAATATATTTTACGACTATGGAATCCACATCCTATAAAAGAAAGTGTTTAAAGTTGAGTGAGAAAGTGAAAATCATAGACGAAGTTGCACTAGGTGCGGGAGTGACACAGCTAGCAAAAAAATATGCAGTATCGAAAGCAACAATCTGTAAAATTAAGCGTATGAAAACTCAAATTTTACAAAGAACGTGCAATACATTTGGAGGTCCGGGAAAAAGAAAAACTTAAAAAAATGCGAAGGCACCTAAAATGAAAAAATCCCTGTGTAAGTGGTTTTTAAAACAACGGGAAAATCATGTCAAAGTTAGTGGCGAAGCACTTAAACAGAGAGCGAGACTGTTAAATGAAAAACTGAAAGAAACTGAAAATTTCGTAGCTAGTGATGGCTGGCTAGAACGATTCAAAACAAGATATGGAATTCGACTGCTGTCTATATCTGGTGAAAAATTATCAGCACAACCAAAGTTAGTGCAACCATTCAAAGAAAAATTGATGAAAACAATTACTGAGCTAGATTTAAGAATGGAAC